CGAGCTCGACTCGTGAAGATCGTAGCAGGGCGTGCGGAGATCGACAACGCGCTTGGCGGTAATGATCCCGTGCTGTTGTCCAAGACACCATTTGAGGTATATCTATGCGGTATTTTTCCATTAATGGGTGCGAAGAGCCCCAAAAATCAACCCCTCCCCCTACTAGGTCTCGACAAAACGCGATTCAACCCCTTCAAAAAGTGAACGTTCAAAGTCTGACCTATAGAGGCTCATAACTGTCGAGACCTAGCGAGAAGTAGGGGTCGAATTCCTTGCTTCACTGCTCCTTTAATTCCCAGTTCCAGGCTCCCACCATTGCCGCGTCGTTCAACACCGACCTGTCATATTTTGATGGGCTAGCAAAGTTGAAGGGTGAGTCAAGATGCAGGGAATTTTGCCGCGGGGCGACACGCAACGCGTGTGCCGCTGAGTAGCGTTGGTGTAGAGGCGTTGCGTAATCCGTTACGTAATCCGTTACGCTATCGAAAGCCAGGCCAGGCTCTGAGTGTCCCCGGTGCGGCCAAATCGATATCCAAAAACTGATACAACGAATGGATGTTCGGTTCTGGACTGTTAGCGGGGGGGGGGGGGGGGGGGAACCAAAATTTTCCGTGTGATTCTCTAAGGCCCTATAAAAATATAAACCATTTATATTGCATTTTACGCAGTTTTTAGGTAGAAAAAGATCGTGAAAAATGTATGGAAAATGAGCAAAAAAAATTTGAAAAATCTCGAAAACTTTTGGAACTTTATAGCAAGGAAAACTAATAAACACACTATAAAAATATATGGCATTTTATTAACAAGTAGGCATAGGCGGAAAAATAAGGATTTTCTCCCCCCCCCCCCCGTTAAGCGGAAAGAAACGATAATCCACAGCAATGCCTTGCCCCCTCCTTTAACCAAATTTAAACCATTTTTCAGGTGTGTATCTCTTTGGTGGCGGCTCGATTACGAATGCCCATTCTGACAACGAGTTTATCGTGGTAAATCCGGCCTTTAGTCATCAAAAACCGCCATTTTCCCAGAAATCCGACCTCGCCGCCGCCGTCGACACGTACGAGCAGCTGATCAGCGCCTTGCTGACTCAATAGTTCAACAAGAACAACGCAGAAAACAATTTATTAAACGTTCCGATGCCGCCGATTCTAACGATCCGATCAGTGTTCACTTGACGGCCCGGCGGCTGCGATTCGTGCGGGATCAGGCTCGCCCAGTTGACTCATCGGCGTCTGGTAGATCGTGTCCTGAATTTTGGACGTTAAAATGTGTCCTTTTCAATACCGTAGCCAAATCCATATATCCGCTTTTGCCCTCCTCTTCTTCCGGGGGTGCAGCACCGTAGGCCGAGCTGAAAAGCATTTATCGTTAGCTTAAAGGGGCTAGAAAACGGCCCGAAACGTCCGAAAGGCTAGAAAAATGCGTTTCTCTGGCTTTTATGCTGCTCAGTGAGTTCAGGCATACGTCGATTTGGTACTGGTGTGTTAGCAGGGGGGGGAGGGGGGAATAATGGGTGATCCGATACCTGCACGGCCCGATATCGTAATAAAGACAATTTTTATAGCGTTAGTTTTGAGAAAAAAACCCTATCAAAAATCCTAACAAAATTTCGAAAAAATAAAATTTTCAGTTTTTTTCTAGCTTCCTAGCATTCAAATATCCCTAAAAACGCGATAAATGGGTTATATATAGCATTAACAAGTAGGTTTAGGCGGAAAACTAAGTATTATTAGCCCCTCCCCGCTAACAGCTCAGTACCGTCGAATTTGCGTCTAAAGATTTTCGATTTCTCTCAAGTATTTGATGTTTTTTTGCCACAATTAGCTTTCAGCTTTTGCTAGTTATCTATTTTAAGCACTACTCTTTTAGTTTTGGCCATTTCAACTTCCTAGATTCCTTAAGGCAATCTAGCAGAGATCTTTTCGCAATTTTTACCCATAAGTCGACACCGGGGCTCCTCCTTGGATGCTTTGATCATAGGTGGAATACACGGACGAGTACACCGGATTCACCCCGGCCACAGGGTCGTGCGGTGGAAGGTTCTGGAAAAATACAAAGATATCAGCTAGGAAAAATGTTCTGAATTTTCCATATCACACGAAAACACGCACCTTCTTATCCTTGCTCGAATTGCAGCCCATTTGCAGAGTTTCTAGAGCGGAAATACGTCATTACGTATCGTCGCGTACCTTTTTCCCACAACAAAAACGGTTAAAACGGTGAAGAAGCCGCGTAGAAAATTGGTTCGTATGAAATGAGGGTGGATTGTTTGACTGTAAATTACATGCTATTTGAAGGTTTTATGCAAAGCACAGATGCAAATCAAAAACCTATTTTATTCCTTGAAAAAGCCAAGTTAAAGGTTATGCCCTCAACAAGAGTTTCGCTCGGCTGAAAAGTAGACGAACAATCGTGTCCTCATCGATATCGTCGTCCCTGCCGTTCGTCACCCAGGCGTAGAAGATGAAAAACTCGGCTTCATCCTTGAAAAAGGAGCCTTAGGAGTTTTTAAAGGGACTATCAAGGCGTATCTAGAGGTTTCGTTCCATTTGGCCGCCGCGACACGCGACGCGCGCCGCAACGCGTCCATTCCCTGGTCCTTTAAAACTCACAAATTCCTCGCCAAGCTTTGCCTGCACGCTTTTCGAGCGGAATTCCTGGGCACGAGAAGGGCCGGCCGCTACCGTACGCTGAAAACGGGTAAAACGGAAGCGCCGTACTCACCGATCGGGTCGGGATGTCGGTAGTTGGAAGCGGGGCTGAAAAGAACTGAATTTTTAGCTTTTTAAACTGTGATAATGATAAGGTTTTCTTTTTGAAGCTTACTAGGTACATTTTTAGATGCTCGTGAGGCTGGCAGCTTCAACGAAACGGACTGAGCGGCGCTCTATAAAAAAGCGTGTCAAAATTTAGCTTGAAAACGATACCAAAACACTTTGAGAGCGTGAAGGCGGCTTCGGGCTGGCGATGCTCTAAAACGCGAAAATATCGTGTTGTCAGAATAAATCGGCTTAAAACTACAAACTACAAACCATGCCAAATTTTTACCGGTGAATGCGAGATGCTCTTCCGGTAGGCATTGCTGTAGGCGAATTTGCTTTTCCGGCTCCGCTCGGCGTGCTTGAAGCCGGAATCGGCGCGCTCGTTCAGGTCTTCTTCTTCCTAGGTTTTTGGGTGCGGAAATAGATGACGTGTACATTTCTGATGTCACCGTCCCTTTAAAGGGATCGGCAAGGCATTATGAAGGATTTGTTGGTTTGAATTTCCGAGTTTAAGTTTTCTCTTAGGCCCGCGTTACGCAACGCGAAGTTTTCCATTGCGTATCGATTACGCCACGCTCCGGCCAAGCCTTCCATTGCGCAACGGAGTGGGCTCGCTATTAGCCGTACGCGTTGCCTGTGCGTTGCGTATCGCGACACGTAGTTTTTAGAAATCCATAGCTGTGCCTTGCCGGCTCCTTTAAAAGAAGGCAAGAGGGTTCTTACATGCTGTCCATCCATCCATGCTTCATACAGCGATTGGGCGACGCGTTGCTGCAATTTTGAATTATAGGTACCAAGTTACGTAAAAACATACGCCTAAGTACGTGTTTTTGCATGCTCCAAACTGCCGTATCTCGGCTCGCTGTTCATCTACAGGTGTGTAAAGTATAACAAAATACTCGCCAGAGCAAACCCAACATTTTGGTATAATTTACACACCTGTAGATGAACAGGGAGCGGAGATACAAATGTTATGTGCCGGCTGGGGGGGGGGGGTAAACTGCACTCTAACCATACGTACTTATAGAACTTATTAAGCCCCTAAAGCGTACCTGCTGATTCATAGCGACCTCAATTTCTATAGAGTTTAGTATAAAGTGAGTTTTCAGCTAAAATAAGGAAGCATTCGGCTTGATTCTGTCTCTTTTTATGCCCCTCCCACCGGCTGTCATGACAATTTCTTGACACGAGGTTTATTCGTTTCGCCGTTCCAGTTTAACGGGTTGCCGAGCTACCCTATTTTTCTAGTTTTAAAAAACCACGCCTGAATGAAAGGTTTTTTTGGGGTTTTTGCAAAAATTGTGACGTCAAATTTTGCACCGGACTCTTGCAAAAGCACCATCCTGGATTTCCGGGCGCTTTTCGAAAATCCGGTTCTGTTGCATTATCGGAGGCGACAATTTTTCTGTAAATACAGGAAGGCCTAACGCAATAATAAAGTTTTAATTATGTCTTAGTAAAAATTAACTTTATTTCGAATGGAAAATCAGCTAAAAACGCATAAATTTGAACATTTGTGGAAAATTGGAATTTTTGTCGAAAAATCGGCATTTTTTGGGTTTTTCAATATCCTACCTTATATAATTTTGGCGCGTATGTGTGTGTGTGTGTGTGTGTGGATGTCACTTTCGAGGCCCGATTTGAGGGCCTTCCCGTGTATAAAATGCCCTAATTCTCCGTCACCCGGGGGGAATCGACCCTTCTGTTTCCGATGGCGTTGTCAGAATTGCGCTAGAATACAAGTTTACAAAGTTAAAGCCGGTTTTATTCATTTTTGGGGGTCCCTGAGAGCGAATTTGCATAATTCGGAAAAATACAAATTTCCTCATTCTTGCCAGTTGCACTCGCGTGTGTGGCCGGTGGGGGGCAGGGGTCCGAAGGACCCGAGCTATCGGGAAGTCAAATTTTTCATGCAAAGGCCGCATTCCAGCGCCCAAGGCCCGCGAAGCGGGTTTTGGGCGCTGGTTTGTAATAATAGTGAAAATTAACGTGACCACACGTCCTGTATTTATATTGGAAAGGAAAAGCCGGTTTTCTTTCCTGGTGCCCCCCCCCCCCGATAATGCATAAGCTTTAGATTTTCCCGATCTGCTTCATTTTTGTCATTTCTTTGATAGCACGTTTTAGGAAAAACGATTTAAGCTAGAAAATACGATACGGTAATTAGAATACCGATTAGAACTGGGAGGGTGAAAAAAAGAAAAAAAAGCGAAAAATCTGGTCTCCTTTTGGCCCGACATGGACTCGGTTCGTGCCTTCTGGAAGGACTTCAAGGTATCAATTTTTTCTGGTCTGGGTATAATTTTGCTAATTCCGGATGCTAATTTAGTATATTCTAATTTTTTTAGATGGAACGTCCGCACGATCCTCTGGCACTGGCTGCGTTCGAGACATCGTACCGGAGGAGGGCTCGTGTCATGGCCAACAACTTTGCCGTCATCTTTCTCCATGTGGGAATTTGGTTCCTGTGCGTTATCGGGGGGACCAACTTTTTTCTCAGGATCTAAGTTTTCTAATAGAAATTGTGCTTCTAAAATGTTTTTTTTTACACATTCAAATTGTAAAAACTGTTCCAGTTTTCATTAAAATTTGCAAAAATATCGATTTTTCGACTGAAAATCAAAATTCTTCTCAGTTTTAGAAATTGTTTTCCCACTTAAACGATAGCTAAATTTTGCTAAAAACACTATTAAAACATTTACTATTACGTTACCAGGCATTTCTAGGCTTATACGAGAAAATTTGCCCCCCCCCGATAACGCCCAAGTACCCGAGAATTCTGATTTTCTAGATCATATCATTTTTTTAGTGCGCCATTGGGGCCACCATCAACGGGGTTCTTTTCTTGACGCCCGGCGTACGCGGCTACGTCCAGCAGATGCCGATGATTCGATTGTCGGTTTCTTCAAAGCTTTTCTTTTCAACCTTTTAATATAAATAACAATGTTTCTAGACTGTTTTTATCATTCCGTAAACTTGATAAATTTCCATTAAAAAAAATAGGTTCTTTAGGATTCCCCCGGGGGGGTGGGAGTGGGGGGGGGATTTCCGGAAACCAAATTTTCGGCCCCTAAGCCCAAAGGCTATATTTTCTAAATAGCGCTGCATGTTAAATGGTTTTAACTAGTCCTGAGCAAAAAAACCACACACATTTTAATTAAAAAATTTAATTTTAGGTCGAAAATCCTATAGAACCTTTAGGATTAGGGGGAAAGACCAAAATGACTAAATTTTCGACTTTTTCAAACATTTTTCTAACTTAATTTTGTAGAAGGTTTTCACCTTAAATATAGTTAAAATTAACTGGAAAAAAATGGGAAAACACTTTATATTTGGATTACTAGGTCGACCGGGAAACAGGGGAAAAATTTGGTTTCCCCCGGAATGCCCCGGAAATCCAAAGAAAAAAATACTAAAACGTCGATTTTCAGCCAGAACCGGTCGATTTTCGACTAAAATTGCGGCTAAAAATTTTTTCTAAGCTTTTAAAATCATTCATTTTACTAAAACCAATTAAATATTTCCGATTAAGTGGCTAGGAATTAAGAATTTGACGAAAAATGGCCGCCCCCGATATTGCCAAAGCACCGAATAACCTGAAATTAATGTGTATCGTTTTAACCAGCTTTTTTGCAGCCTCATCTACACTTCCGGTGTTGTCATTCCGATTCTGACGGGTACATCATGGACGATCGAATATCGTGTCGGCTACATGGTGTGGCTTCTTCACACCGTTCTGCTCGTCCTCGTCACCACTGGTTCGTGCTCCACCTTGTCATGCCGTCACTTCGAAATTCCAGTAGTGGCCACCGACTTCGACACGGAGATGCCGATGGTGATCATGACGGGATTGAGCCTGTTCTCCCTCTTCTTCTGCCTCATCTGCGCCCATCGGGGCTGGCTGTTCGCGAAGGCGAGGTGGATCGTCTTCACGTGGATTGCATGGCCGTTCCTCATCCAGTTTATCCAGGTAGTTTCTTAGGAACCAGTTTTTAAAAATAAATAGTGGCGTGAAAACTTTACAAATTTTTATTAAAAAATACAAAATATCGATTTTGCGATCGGAAATGGCCCTTTTTTACCAAAAATTAAAATTTTTAGAAATTTTTTCAATTTTTAGATAGTTGCTCATATCCCAGCTTTTTTAGTCGTCAATGCTGCTCTACGACTCTTCATGGCTGATAAGTTCGGTGTTCGGCGCCCTGGCGACGACCTACATCCTCTACAACGTCGACGATACCACCTATGAAAGCCCATTCCATACAGTTGCCTATTTGTATTGTCGTATCCCCTGGTATTTCATTTCCAAGTGCTCACCTTTTCGTGCCTAAACTCTAACCCTATTTCTCTCCAAAGTATGTAAAAAAACCCTGGCCTATCGTTAATTCTCTACTGCGATTGTTGATATGTGATTTCAGCATTTCTCGGCTTGGTGAATATTTTTGACTAATAAATGTTTTGTGACTCATTTTGCGCTGTTTTGAGGCTTCGTCGCTACGAGTTTCAGTGATTTTCCGCCGAAGTATTTTGGTCGGGCCGCAAGGAATAATAACGGGAGTTGCAAGGCCGGCTTTAGTTGTTGGAAATTGGTCTTATGTCATTTTTTTAATTCTCGAAGGCTTTTTTGCTATATAATTCAGTAAAGTTTCATGCTTGAGGCGAGATAGTATGTGCAAATTGCTAGGAACCATTTAGCTTTTAATTTTAGCACCAAAGGCGCCTTAAAAACGTAAATTTTTGTTATTTATTATTATTAGTTTTTTATTATTTCAGGTATCGTATACCTCAATCCTTTACTTTGGCCTTTTCCCGCCCAGCCAAATCGCCTCTCGGGCGCCGCTTTTTCGCGCCCACCATCCCCCTTTTTCCTGGCGTGTTCGCCCCCCAATTGTTCTTTTTTTTGCTTATCTTCGTTCGTTCTCTCTTCTTTCCCCCTTTTATTTTATCAAAACAATTTCAGAAGGATGTCCACAGCCCTCAAACCAACGACAGCCAAGCGGACCGCCAAAGTGCTCACCGATTTCTTCAATAAAGGTTTGCAAGATGTTTTCTTTCAAAGAAACTTTCCTTTTAGCACCGGGCGCCGCTGAGAAGAAGTTGAAGGTGGATGTAATGGAGGATGCGAAGCCCGTCAAAGAGTCGGTAAGCCATTTTTAAATGCTATATTAAAACAAGCCTAGTGTTTTCGGTTTTCCTTATTGGAGAATAATGATTTTTCAATTGAACATTTTATTTTTTAGGCAACAACAACAGTCGAGCCAAGCGAAGACGCGGAAAACACTCCGCAAACGTCCGGCGAACTGGCGAGCCCCTTTCTTGCGGACCTGCTCCAAGATGCCGAATGGCGAGAAGCGCTAAAGACCGAGTTCGAAGCCCCGTATTGGAAGAAAATCGAAGACTTCCTCTTAAAAGAATATCAAAAGGTATTTCCTAGCACGCGCTTCTATTCATACAATTTTAGGGTAAAGAAATCTTTCCGCCACGCCACGAAATCTTCACCGCGTTCAACACGACGCCGTTGTGCAAGATAAAGGTCGTGCTGATCGGCCAGGATCCGTATCACAACGTCGGCCAGGTTGTGATACGTTTTTATTATTGGTTTTTGTCATTTTGATCAGCATTTTTATGTATTGGTGATGTTTGTATTAAATTAATTTTCCATTTCAGGCGCACGGGCTTTGCTTTTCGGTGAAGAAGGGAATAAAGGCGCCCCCATCGCTGGTCAATATGTACAAGGAATTGGTCACCGATATTCCAGGTTTCCCTATTTTTCTTTCTACAGTTGAACAATTTAATTTTCAGGTTTCGTGCCGCCCTCTCACGGGTATTTGATGGGCTGGGCCGAACAAGGCGTTTTCATGCTCAACGCCGGTCTTACAGTCGAGTAAGGATATCTAGCTCTACTTTAGTTTCCTTTAGGGCCCACAAAGCCAACTCACACGCGGATATTGGATGGCACAAATTCACCGAGAAGGTTTGAACACTTTCCGTTTCAAAATTATTTGTATTCCAGGTCATTCAAACGATCTCCCGACGTGTGGATAAGTGCGTCTTCTTGCTGCTCGGCAACTTTGCCCAAAAACGAGCAGCTCTCGTCGATGCCAAGAAGCATGTTATCATAAAGGTTCGGTTCACCCGGAATTTAAGAAGGAAATGTTTTTGATTCTAGGAAGCTCACCCATCTCCACTCAGCGTTCGTCACTTCAAAGGCTGCCGCCCTTTTTCAAGAACCAACGAGGCGCTAGTCAAATTTGGGCTCGAGCCGATTGACTGGTCCCGTCTCCCGTTACCTTGAACTTTATATACTCACACCTCGCTGTTTTTCTTGTTCTTGCACAAGCACTCTCGTATTCCGATCTGCACATAATTTTCACTTTATACACATTTTGTAATTTTGATAAGTAATTGGATTTCAAATCATGGGAATAAAAACGTTACTATAATGCTCACATGAAAGCAACGAATCGCATATTTCAAAAAAAGTTTGATGAGAGGTGTTTTTTTTTGGGTAAACGGCTATCTGTTGTAATACGCACCATTTTCGACCAGCTCCAGACGCCATCGTCAAACCACGCGCAGATACTTCACCGACCAGCGCCACTACGAAACCCAGACGGTTAAATGTATATAGAAAATTTGCGTATATTCTATATATAAAGCACATAAGTTTATTGTCTTCATTCAAGACAAGAGCAGAAATGCCATTCGATACAAGATACGGGTTTTTGCCCAGGTAAACTTTGAAGAGTTATGCTTCTTTTAGAGAAGACACGGCCCAGCTTCTAAAACACCCAGGCGACTTCCTTCTCAGAAGCAACCAATTCCAACCACGGGAACCGATGCAGCTCATCCTTTCGCTCGCCTACCTGGAAAGACATAAAGAAGTAAGAATATTACACTGGTGTTCTTGGTTGCAGGCATCCGGAGCGGCACGTTAGATATTGACTCGCATCATTCTAGGATGGAGACTCTGGAAAAAGTGGACGATCGGGACAGCGGATCAAGCGCGGAAAGTCGAAAATCGCTGGCAACCATGCGCCGGATGCTCAAATGCCTCCTGGCCAAGCCGACACACTGGAGCTGAAGGTAAGACGCGACCTTAAAAGATAGAAAAATTATTTAGGTGACGCACTTCATCATCACCAGGGATAAAGAAGCTCCTCACTTCCATACCATCGACAAAAAATCCGCGCCGCCACGGTCGATAATCTCATCCAGAAATACAAAGACAGGAAGATACCGCTGAAAAAAGAGGTACAAGGTTGCATTATTACTGTATCTCCTTTAGTTTCGCACCACCGTGCTGAAAACTCCCATCACCAAAGCTTCATGGGAGATCAACCACGACGACGTCAAGCAGGACAAGAAGCTTGGAGAAGGTGTGATTTTGTTCTTACACCATACGCTGTTTCAGGAGCTTTTGGCTCCGTATATTCTGGGACATGGAAAAAGTCGAGTGGCGCCGCAATCCCAGTGTCCATCAAGCAAGCTCACCCAGAGCTACTGGATCCCGAAAAGGTTTGCAACCTAAATGACCTTAATTAATTGTTACAGTTCCAAGAATTAATGAGGGAAGCCCAGGCCGATGAGGAATTTTCATCACCCCAATATAGTCGCAATCTATGGAGTGGCTGTCGAGAAAGATCCGCTGATGATCATCATGGAATTGGTAAGCATCTGAAAGGAAAGTACTTGTCCATCCAGGTCGATGGGAGCAGCCTCGATAAGTTCCTGCACACCAAGGGCAATAGCCTGGAGCGTCTCGAAAAGCTGGGACTTGTCTTGGTGGGTCCAGCATCGAGTCTTTCAAAATTCGTTTTTAGGAGGCCGCATGGGGCATCGAGTATCTGCACCAAAAAGGCGTCCTTCATCGCGACATCGCTGTTCGGAACTGCCTCGTATCGCGAAGGGCTTCCGGCCGCCAGCTAAAAATCTCCGACTTTGGGATGTCGCGCCAAAGCCGACAATATTGCCTAAAAACCAAGCTCAAAATTCCCATGAAGGTATTTCCATGAACTTTCCTCCTACTTTTACGAATTTTAGTGGCTTGCGCCGGAGGCCATCACCAAAACCTACACCTTCAACCAAGCCAGCGACTTCTGGAATTTTGGTGTGCTTGGTGAGTGAATTTTGAGCGTCGTAGCATTGCTTGTTTAGTGTGGAAGATCTGCTGAATGGAGAGGAGCCCTACAGCGGGATGGCGGTAGCGGCGACCAAATTCGTGATTTTGAGTTGAAGAGCGGCTGCAGTGTTTAAAGAAAAAGATTAATGAAGTGGTTGTAATAAATTTCGAAATTGCCAGTTACTTGTTCTGATGGACATTCTAGATAATGTCAGATTCGACTGCGTGCGCTTTTTGCAGGTTTTTTCTCGACGCGATACGAGACAGCATCGAGAAATGTTTTTTTTTTTTTGGCTAGGCTTAATAGATCTCCTAGCCCAGACTAGGTATATACTTCCTCGCTATGGGCCCCGAGCCGCGTGTGGGCCCCTCGTGGCCCCCTGAATGAATAGAAAAAAGGGACTAGAAGAAGCCAGAGCGTCGAGAGATGGGCCATTGATCGGAGGGTCCAGAGGGGCAGGGGAAAGTGGGCCCCTAGCGGGGCCTCTTTTTTCTATTTGAAGCCCACGGCGGCGGATTCCTGAGAAGAGAGAGAGAGAGAGTGATAGAGAGAGAGAGAGAGAGAGAGAGAGAGCAAGAGAGACCCACACTATACCCCCTCTTCGCTATATTTTTTGCAGAGCGGCCCCCCGCGGGCTCTCCTATTTTTGGCTTCGGTTGTAGTCGGGCCGCGGGGATTCCCTGTTTTTGGGCATTTTTTGCTTTTTACTTACCCGACCAGTTTGGGATTAGGGTTTGTGAATGGATGGTATTAATGAGAATAATAGGGCCATGTGGTTGATCTATGAATGGGACGGATGCGGTATCGCGAATGAATTTTGCAATTTTTGACGTTTTCAAAAAAAAGCTTAGGATTCGACTGAATCGTGGGTTTAGACTTTAGCTCGGCCTAGTTTAGGAGTTAAGATTTAGGCCTGAACTTACACTTGGTTTAAGTTTGGCTTCGACTTAAACTAATTTTCACTTAGTTTAAGCTTAGGTTTGCGCTTATTTTTAAGCCCACTTGCCCTCTATGAAAATTCTCATTACTTGCTGATTAATTTCGCCACGCTTTCGTCATTTTTTTGTATTTTTGTGACATTTTCCGGCGCTGAAAACTCGTCAGCTCTTGACGTCCACAGAAATAAGCAGAATTCTTCGACAGGTTTCTGAATGATTTTGGCAGCTGTTTTTCCGCAAAACATTTTGACTTTCACCTGGCGAGGCTGGGGCGAAAAACCCCAAAAATGAAGATAAAAGCGGTGGGACAGGTGATGTTGAATGGATATAATGAGTCCGACACTACCGTATCCGCTGGTAGTTTGGGATTTTTGTGTTGGGCGTACGGGTTATCGGTGGGATATGACCGCCGGCAACTTGCTGATCGCTGCCGGATCTGTGTAAGCTACACCCAGCAAAGACCATTTTCGGGTCCTGAACCCGGCTTTATACCTTTCTGTTCCAGTTGCAATTTCGTTGGGCCGTGTAACCCGGAATTGGCCCCGTAAAAATTCACCCCGAAAAAATGATAAACCTTCCCAGCCCTCCCTGCCGTGTCACCAAATCAGCTTGCAGTGCCCAAGAAAATGGGGACGGAAATCGAGTTAGTACGGCGCCGGCAAGAAGGGCAAGGTCCGACCGTTCACAGGTGATGCCTGGCCCATTTTATGGTAAAATAATGGGGTTTGCGGGGCTGGGAATGGGTTATAAAAACCGATTACCGGGTCAACGAGCAAAAGACAAAAATCTTGGTGCGGCCCGGGGTTTGAACCCTTGAGCAACAAAATTAGGGATGCAATGAAGTCGTGATCTTCAGGAATCTCTGCTAGCCTGCCTAAATGATCTCTGCTAGCTTGCCACATTGCCGGTAATGCGATTTTTTGGACTTTCCTCAATATAAAGAAAAATTCTTCCGGAAGAAAACAACTGCTCATTGCTTCCAAAATTGTCTCTGCTAGCCTTCTTTTATTAAGGCCTGGCCACCAAAACCTATTTCCTCCAAAATCTCTGCCAATGGGAACTCGTAAATTGTCTCTGCTGGCTTGCCTCTTCTTGTCTAGAAATTTAAATTAGATTTTCCAATCCAATCAGCCCCCAAATTGCGGTCTTTTCTGACAAGGAGACGTTTTTGAGTGTCGTCGGGACTTTGGCACGGGACCAAGCCTATCTTGTGCAGGATTTTACGCTGATTCCGAATATGTTAACCGTTTTTGCGGAATAGCCATTTCTCGAAAGTTATGAACGATTTAAACCTCAAAACAGCCCAAAATCGGCTACTTTGGATAGTCAAAAAAGGCTTCGGAATAGGTTTTAGACAAAACTTGATAGTGCATCTTGTTCAGAAAAAAATCTCTATAAAATAAGCTACTTAACTCAAAAATGTTCTAATTTTGAAAATTTTTGTAAAATTATGGACCTCCCAATTTATCAAATTTTTCCAACTTTTCAATGATTTGGGAAAAGCTGGTACATTTTATAGAGAATTTTTTTTTCTGAACAAGATGTACTATCTGGTTTTGTCTAAAACCTATTTTGAAGCCTTTTATGACTATTGAAAGTAGCCGATTTTGGGCTGTTTTGAGGTTTAAATCGTTCATAACTTTCGAGAAATGGCTCTTCCGCAAAAACGGTTAACATATTCGGAATCAGCGTAAAATTCTGCACAAGATAGGCTTGGTCCCGTGCCAAAGTCCCGACGACACTCAAAAACGTCTCCTTGTGAGATCCTAGGGTCGACTCCCCGTCAAATTGTGGCTTCAGAAGTGGGACTCTGTTTTGAAGCCCTTCCAGCCTAGAAGACCCGATTCTCTATTCCCTCTATGGACCCGCTAGGGGTAGATGAAGCCCCATATCTGGGCCCCATCCCCTGGGCCATGTGGCGGCGAGCTGTTTTTGGGGCCCAGGGATCTGGAATGGAATCCCCTCAACATCTCTCACACACTCTCTCTCTCTCTCTATCTCTTCCACTCTCCCACTTCATTACTATTAACGGACCCGCGAGACATAGATAAACAGGATTAATCCTCTGGCCCCGGAATTTCCACGGGCTTCCCCAGAAAATGGCGCCAAAATAGGGTAGACTGGCAGCCGTGCCCGGGACATTAATGAAACGGCGATGCCGAACGTCTAACTCAGAAAGCAAAAAATTTCCGCCGCCGAGAACCGAACCCGGAACTTGTGCCTGGAAGACC